TTCCTCCTCCTGATAAACCACGCCACACAGAGGGACAGAAAAGACAGAGGGATTGTACATTAGATCAAAGAAGCACAAGGACGGGACAAGACAGAGGGATTGTACGTTAGATCAAAGAAGCACAAGGACGGGACAAGAAGCATTTGGATTATCTTAGGTCAATTAAAGCTGAACTCTCTGTTAGCTCTTGAACTCTTTCACAACCAGGGGATTTTCCTCACCTGGACGGGGCCCTTTCTGTGACCTACTTTCTAATTCTGCCTATCCTCGGACAAATTAAGGATTTTTTAGTACAATTTTCAATATTAGCCACATAGATTATATAAGGAAATAAAAGGGAAATAATGACCTATTTTAAAATGTTGCAAAAAAACGATCATACCTCAGCATGAGATTTCAGTTTCGATTATTACAAAATTAAGTGTGCTTTTGGCGTACAAAGTGGTGAGCTGTGAAACACACCTTGCAGTCTAGCAATGAAACACAGCTTGTGGTAGTGAGAGAGTTAAAGATAAGCCTCATATATGAACAAACAATTGTGGGAACTGTTTTAAGAGGTCAGTGAAAGTAATTTCTGCCTGTATGTCCTGGAATCACAAAAAAACCCAACAACTATTATCTTCAATTTCATAGTCTAGTACGAAAACAGCTTTAAAGTATGGTATTGCAAGTTACGAAGATTTCATGACAGTGAGCTGAAGAAAAAGTGAAGACACCTGATAGTTCAAGGGTTTATTGGAATGAACCAGTACTATCAGGCTTTTTCCTCCATGAAAACACAAATACATTTTGAAAATGCACTGTCTTAAAACAAGTAAGAGAAACCGATTTATTTCAAGACATAGCTGTTGTGAGCACAACTCAGGCGCACACCCAGCATGACCTCTGACCTCTTTGGGCTCCTCCACAGGTGGCGCTGGCTCAGGCTCCGGGGTGAGCGTGCGTGGAGTCGGGGCGTTCTCATCCATCTCCTCGATGGCACCCTCCGTGTCCGCTCTGGACCGAGCCCCTCCCCGCTCAAGAGACGACTTCGGACGGTGTCTGCCATGGGAAAGTCACAAACAAATCAGCTCAAAGACGAATTATGAGCGATAACTGCAAATTTAGAAAGACTATCAGATTTAACTAGATAGGAACCAAAATGAGCAAAAAATCTAAAGCACTGCATATAAAAGTGAGGCAAAAACCTTCAATTCAATGGAAGATGATGGCTGAAATATTCCATACATGACGGCTTAACTATGCCATAGTATAAAGGTTTAAATATTCTATATGATGGCTTAAATGTTCCATACTTCAAGAAGCATGGAAATATCAAAAAAAAAAAAAAAAAGGTAGCCATAATACCTCAACTTAAAAGTGCGACAATAAAGCAACGCCCTGACGATAAAGGTCAGGAAGCAAAGACAAAAGTAAGTCTCCAATCCAACCAGCAATACAGATGTTGTGCGTTCCCACAAAGAACTAGGCTTATTGTGTCTTGCTCTAGGGCTCACTCCAGTGACCAGCCACCTAAAGCGATCACTCACCTAAAGTGACCACCTTCCTAAAGGAATCATCCACCTAAAGCAGTCACCTTCAGAAAGTGATCACTTTCCCAAAGCGAACACCTTCTTAAAGCAGTCACCTTCAGAAAGTGATTACTTTCCTAAAGCGAACACCTTCCTAAAGCTGTCACCTTCCGAAAGTGATCACTTTCCTAAAGCAAACACATTCCTAAAGCAATCATCCACCTAAAGCAATCATCCACCTAAAGCAATCACCCCCCCAAAAGCAATCGCCCATCCAAAGCGATCACCCACCTATGTCATCGCTTTAGGTGGCTGGTCACTAGAGTGAGGCCTAGAGCAAGATACAATAAGCCTAGTCACCTTCCGAAAGTGATCACTTTCCTCAAGCAATCACCTTCCTCAAGCAATCACCGACCAAAAGCAATCACCCATCTATAGCAATCATCCACCTATAGCAATCACCCATCTATGGCAATCATCCACCTATAGCAATCACCCATCTAAAGTGACCAGCCACCTAAACAAATGCTATGTCATCAACATTGATTGACATTCGGAGTATGCCCGAGCCCACTATCTCTCCCCCACTAAAGCTCTGTTTCCTGCTGTGAAGGACAATTTGACGACTTACGTGTCTGTTGGAATGGGCACCGGGCTGACTTTGTAGTTGACAAAAGCCGATGTGATCTCCAGACACTGGATTTCTTTTGGTGGCTCCGGATCAGCTGAAAGCAACAATAATAAATAATTTGAAACCACTTTTTGTATAACTGAAGATTATGCTATCAATTTAAATAAGTGAAAATCATTCTAAGAACAAACTTTTAACAAAGTTTAAAAAAAAAACAACCAAAAATTGAACAAGGGGAAAAGGGGGGAGGGGGTACATAGACGGATTGATCGACAGAATAAGAGACCAGTTGAGTAATTATTGGATTGATCAAATCCATGGACCAATGCACTATGGATATCATCAGTGTGGTGAGTAATCCACTTAAGTCTGTCTGGGTACTTTTAACATCACAGACTAAAAAACTAGTTTCTGTTGTGTTTTTCCTATCAAGAATTGAGAAAAACAAAAGGTCTACAGTGGCTTGACCACATTCCTTAACAATGACTTAGACATCAAATTACTTCTCCGCAATTGCCCAAAGCAGGTCTCTTTTATTGGGAGTTCTTTCATTTGATGAAGACCAATCAAAATAAGTTCACTTGTTTTGATTTAATGACCAATATAGTGATGTATCTGTCACTTTTAGATTTTGTACCTAAAGAGGGCCCTCGGAGATAAAGAGTTACTACAGCCAAGCTTTTCTGTAAGAGTCATTGACCTCCCTTCATGAGCAGCACTACTCACCCACGGGCTCATCGTGGGGCGGAGATTTCCTCTTCCTGGGCCGGATGAGCTTCCAGGAGGGGATGACCACAGGCGGGGGTGGAGGCTCCAGGGGGCAGGACCTGGTCTGTGTGAGGCACACGGGGTGAGGGTACTGGTGGGACAGCCCATTCTGACGCAGTTTCTCACTCGCATCCGCCTGGAAATGTAATATAATCGTAGATGTTTTACACCCCTATCGACATAATTTACCACTTGCCATCACATCTCGCCGATCATCAGGAAACGCTGAACTTCTGCTCCCGTACCGATGTTTACCCCAAAATGCTTGTGATGGCAAGGGATTTTACTATATGAGCCTTATGATGGCAAAGTGTTAAGTAAAAAAAAAGGAAGTGAGCTGCTTAAACTTTGCCTAACAAGGCCAATTTAGACCAAGAAGGACCCAGGCCGAAGAGCTAGAACTCAGATGGCTGCTGGATCAGAAAAGTAAAATAGAGTATAGTAAGACTGAGAAGGATACAACGTGCTGACTGAAAGATGGAGATACTCCAGATTTAAAAAACCTCCCCATACGGGAATCAAACTCACGTTTTATGTATCATTTAATGTATGTGATAGTGAAACATAGGCTTCTCTCAGACAGAACAGCAGAATATTAGGTAGTAAAGTTGTTCCCACATCCGATTCAGACATTGGGAATTGCCTTGTTAGTGAGACAACTTCCTTGGCCTTTGGCATATTGTGGTAGGGTAGCCAGTTCCTTTCCACACTGCCTTTACTTCCCCAACTCAAAGTCAGGTACCCATACTGCTGGGTGGGCAGGAGGGGGCGAAAAAAACCTGTGTCCAAACCGAAGCTCGAACCCAGACTTTCTGCTTTGGAGACAAGTGCACTAACCTCTCGGCCACCGCACCCTCATGAGGTAGAGAGGGGTTAGAATTGTTTGAGAAAGAATGTGCACATCTGTGAAACCCTGGACAGTTGTAGAGAGGGCATCCTGGTGTGGATCAGTGAGGGACATGGATGATTCTGAAAGTTTTAGGGGATTTGAACCCCATCCCATTGGTCCAAGTCCCAAGAACCTGTTTTTAAACGTTGTAGTGCATGGTACCTTATGATGAGCCGGCATGATCTTTAGCCCCAATTCAATACAACAGGTAACGGAAACTGACAAAAAGTAGAAGATGCAGATCACACAAGAATGCCCATGTACAAGCTTCTCCCATTTTTAAAATAAACATAATTTTTTTAAAAGAGAGTATGACTTAATAATAAATCAGATTTATAAACATTTCAACTAGAAGAGCAGCCCAGCTACATGTGTAAACAGTTCCTCACCATTTCTTTCAACAGAGATAATTTGACACGCGCAAACAGTTTACGACCTCAGAGCTTTCTAGTCTTATCTCCATTTCTTTTAAAACAGTGAAAATGTGACATCTTATTGAGTTCACTTTTTGTTATGAACTGTTTTCACTGTTATTAAACATGGAAATACGACAAAAAAAGCACAGGGGTCGCGAGTTCCTCACCATTTCTCCCAGCACAGACACCTTGACAGGGAACTTGGGAGTGGAGCTGTAGGTGGCAAACATCACCAGCTCTGGCTTCTCAGGGAGCACAATGTCATCCAGACTGGACTTCTCCTCTGGAGGGGGGGGGGGGGGAAGACGTGACAAACACAGTTACTTTACTATTTGGCTTCTTTGACAATGACAATGACAATGACTATAACAATCTTTATTCATCCCGAAGGGAGAAATTTGTCTTGGTCGTTAACAATGGCGGTAGACATTACAAAAGTTAGACCTTAAGGTGCACTCACGCAAAGCACAACAAGACAGGACATTAGGCCAAGTAAATACATGTCTCACGTGCTGGGACAACCTGCTCCGTAAAACATTCTCTCTCTCTCTCTCTCTCTCTCTCTTTTCTTAAGTAGTGAAGAGTGTACATACATTGACACAACAGTGGTGATAAATTTTAGGGGAAAGTAAGGAAAAGAGACAGAAACAAGCTAGGAGTAGGAAAGAAGTAGGACTTACAAGTGGCGCTCTTCAACAACTCGTATAGTGAGGCTCTGAGAGTTCAATACAGCAGAAAGATCAACAAAGATGGCCAGTTGTTAAGTTGTCACAATTTACAGTAAACCAGCATGAAGACAGCCATATATATACATGAAAAACAGTAGCTCTGAATAATAAGAAAAAGGAGTAGACCACACCAAAACCCCACCAACCCCTCTCATCACAAAGTTGCTGGGCTGTAGTTTAATGGCAAATCAGGACAGTAGTTAGTAGAGGTTTTACAGCGCTTGCAACTGCATAAGGTCATATGAGCGCAAGAAGATTAGAGGTGTTACAAGAGAGTAACAAACATAAAAAAGAAGAAGGGGAGATAAGGACGATAGAAGTTTCATAGGAAAGAAGAAGCAAACCACACCAGAGCACCCGCCAACCACCCACAAAATCAGGACAGTTTCAGACACATTCTGCCAGACACACACAGTGCCAACAGTTATACATTTTTGTCTCCGCATGATTTAGCAAAATTTGATCATTTTTTGCATAATTTCTCATTATTTTCCTTTATCATTCTTTGTTAAAATTATCAGAATCGCATAATTTCAAATTGTTGGGCTCAGTTTGCAAAATTTCAGAATTTTTCTTGCATAAAACGACGGGGACAGACATTTGTTTGTTTGTTTGAGAGAAGACAAGCACACCAACACAATAATGGTCATGCAGTGCAGGGAGAAATTAAAACAGACAGACAGACAGACAGACAGACAGACAGACAGACAGACAGACAGACAGACAGACAGACAGACAGACAGACAGACAGACAGACACAACAGAGGAAAGTGAAGAAGTAGGATCTACCAGTGGCACCCTCCAACCACCCATCAGCAGTTGTACAAAGATTGAGAAAAGAGAGAGGACAACACGGGAATGTCCACCTTGCACCTACAGCAAAGCGTCGTAAGGATGGATAAACTGACCAAAAAACCATGAATTTATAGATACTCAAGCTCCACATTTTCTCAACTGACAGAAAAATATATTCACACCTACGAAACTGAAAAGACAAGAGTATTGGTTGAAAGGTAAAAAAAAAGAGAGAGAGATAATGCCATCCAAGTCAGGTTTCTCCTCTGTCGATCCAAAACATAAATGTGTCACGACGTGGTGGAATCAGGTGCTCGTCAATTTTTGGGCATATGGGGTTACTGGTATCGTCTTAAAGCCTGTTCATTTGCCTTCCTATTGGGGGAAAAATTATCCATCTTGCCATTGAAGGAGGTCATCAGGGCCGAGGTAAAATTAGCGAGAAAATGACGGCCAAAGTTTGGTAACTATCATAGCCTGAGAGTCCTTGGAAACTAAAAATTTACATTTTTTGTGCCTTCAATCAATGTTTTTCAGTAAAATCCATACTAATATGTGTTTTTAAATGGACATAAAAAGTGTTGAGCCGAACAAAGAAAATAAGAAAAAATTGCCCCCTGGCAAAAAAAATGCTGATTTCTTTGATTTCATTATTTTTAGTTTAGTTTTTTTAATTTAGTAGAGGTTTTTCAGCACTCGCAACTGCATAAGGTCATATGAGCGCCAAGGGGGGATGCCAACAGAGAAGTCCTTACAGGGAATCAGACTTACTCTGCTCACTTCTCTAGCTTCAACAGCACAAAGTCTGCTTCGACTATCAAGGCACCCCGGAAATAGCAAGTCACAAGAGAGTGACAAACATACAAAAGAAGTAGAGGAAAATGATGACAGTTAGGAATAGGAAAGAAAAAGCAGCAGTTCCCTGTTGCAGTTCAGGCACAGTTATGAGCATGACATAGATGAATCAGCCCATTTACAATTCTACTGTGCATAAAAACATGTTAATGTCCCCCCTTTGGGAATGGCCTAAAGACACTTCAGTAAGTAGCACTTCCCAGGGGGGGGGGAGGGGCGGGGGTTCATTATTTTGACAAGCACCTGATTTCACCACGATGCCTCACAAATATATTCATTTATCTAAAATTAAAACAGACAGATAAAACACTGATCAGCTTTAAAAAAAAAAACCCACAAAAAAAATGCAGTGTTAAAAAAGATGCAAACAGTCACACAAACAACCACGCAGAGACCAAGAGTTGAGTACAATTCACCATCAGAGAAAAGTTTACAGAAACAGTGGGGGAGCACTTCACATTCAATACAGCTCTAACATCTTCGAAACATCAATGATGAAGTAGAACACCTTGGGTTGACTTATTCTATGTTTAAGACGTATCATGTGACTTTAACCAAATCAGCAAGAAATTCAACAGAGACGCAGGTCAAAGGGTAACCCAGTTTTTAAGGCCGTAACACCAACAGGCTCCAAAGAGAAATAGAATAACGAGAAACATTTTCTATAAAAAGAACATTCTGAGGTTATAAAACTAGTTTCTAAAATTCTAAAAATTGAAAGTGCAAAGATAGAGATGAAGACTTTATCAAAAAACTTTATTCCTATTCTCAGAAGGTATATTAAAAAAACAACAACACACACACACACACAATACATACACCACACACACACACACACACACACACACACACCACACACACACCACACACACACACACACACACACACACACACACACACACACACACACACACGGACAAACATGGCAGACATTCACATACCACCACATAAACACATGAAAGACACTAATTTTGCCAACACAAACACTAAAACAAAGAGTAGTAAATTTGACACAAACAACAAATGCAAAGATAAATGAATCTGACACAAACAATAGACGAAAAAGTAAAACCGACATTGACAAACAACAGAGTAAGAAAGAGTAAAACTGACACAAACAATAAAAAGAAATGAAGAAAAACTTGGATATTCTATAATGTTTCATGTGGTAGTTGTGGCATAACATAAACCACCACGAACACAAAAAAGTCAAGTTTCAAATCAGACAGTGGTCCCAATTTTTCGATTCTTCTTGTAATATTTCCTTTCAGCCTTTCAGTTGATAAGGGCAAAGATCTCCCCCTCCAAAACAACCTTTTCCACATCCAGTCAGAGGTCATTTTAAATCCCTTCCCTCTCCTCCCAAGACACACACAAAAAAAAGTTTTGAGAAATGGAATCAAGCGCGTTGCTTTGAGAGAGGAAAATCTGGCATCTTGTCTGCCTAGGGGTCCCCGTAGTTTTATGCACCCAGAATAATTTAGAAAAAATTCGATCATTCTTTGCATAATTTCTGATTATTTTCCTTTATTATTCTTTGTTAAAATTAACAGAATCGCTTAATTTCACATTTTTGGGCTCAGTTTGCATAATTTCTGAATTTTTCTTGCATAAAACCACTCCACCATATGCCAGTTAGAAAAGCGATGAATGATGGAGACTTATATGGAGCAGTCGATCTGTTTATGTGCTTTCCCAGTTCTTTCTTTAAAACAAGTCATTCAAACTCTACTCTCAGCACCCTGTCAAACTCTTGGAAGAACAAGTAACGTGCTTGATTCCTGTCTCCACACATTTTTCGTTTGTTTTTTTCTTAAGTTTTGAAAATGACAAGATCATATCTCCTTTTCCTTGCATTCTCTCCCTCCACTCCCTAAAAAAAGATTTTACAATTTTTTATAGTTCAATTTTTTTTTTTTATGACGTTTGACTCTATTCTCTTTAGGTTACTCTGCGCATTTTTCCTCTGCCCTCTATATAAGGTAGGACCGTGAGGTATAGAAAGGTACTCAGACTCTATATGTACATTGCATATTGAGGCTAAAGATGATATAGAAGAGTAGGGGATCTACAGAAGACCAGGGGGACATCAGAAATCTGCGTTGTGCACAGAGGGGGACATACTTTGTGTCTCTCTTTAATCAAGAGATCTCGGGGAACATCACCAATACAGTGTGCATGAACGTTTACACAAGGATATAGAACACGTTATGCTCAATATAGTAGACATTACTACGAGAATTACGTAGTTGGACTGAATGTAGCCTAAAGCTGCATCTATATTGAAATTCATAATGAGAAGATTTGGATCAGGAGGTGGTGAAAGAGGGATCAAGATCTTTAAGAAATGTTGACCAAAAATTCAGGAAAATAAAATTTATAAACAGGCAAGATAAGAAGATAAAAGACAAGATGAACCTAAAGGATCTATCTAATGAAAAAAAAAAGATTGTGCTATCATTTGAAATTAAAACTTCAGGTTATACAGAGATAGCATTAATATCCTAATCTATCTAAAACAAAATGTCTAATGTTTCTGTAAAAAAAGAAAAGATTTGAGACTGTGCACATGTGATGCGCTTCACTCATCAAACTCCACACAACACACCAGCACAGACACACACACACAGGTCTTTGAACACAAAATCACAGTTTGCGACTTATTTTGACAAGGGGATGAGCTCCTGAGTGCCTGTAAAGCTGTACAGTGTTCATTGCTCAATCTACCTCACTCTAACAAACACTGGACACACCCTACCCCTTCGTGGCCTTTTATATTATATTATGTTTAATATCAAATTCTGAAATTGCAACCAAAAAAAAAGTTACAATTGCCATGACTTTAAAGACAAAATAACCAATTTATACGACTGAAACATTTCTATTTGAATTGAAATTTAAAGGAAAAACCCATGTAAACATTTAAACCAAACAGCATTCAAAAGAGAGAGACTGCAACAGCTATGAAACCTCAAAAGTATGGAAAGTTCAGCTCCGTATAATTACTAAATTTTTAAAAGGCTAGAGCATGTAAAAAGTAATAGATTAGAAAAACAGCAGAATCTGCTATCATTCTTTTTTTCAAGGTTTTATGGATGACTTGATGACATTATGTCGCAGCAGACTTTCAGGTTTTAGAATATAACCCCCATGAAAAGCTGGAGTCTCACAGTGAGCACTTTCAGTGGAATGTAAACAGAAGGGTCATGTTCAAAACTGAGGTATGAGTACAGATTTGGGGGATGGTTGTGAGTGTGTGTGTGTGAGTGGTTGTGTGTGTGAGTGTCTGTGTGAGTGTGGTTGTGTGTGTGTGTGTGTGTATGTGTGTGTGTGTGGGTGTGTGCGAGTGTGTGTGTACATGTGTAGTCTAGAGTCTAAATATATATGTCTGAGTCCAAAAGTGTACCTATCATGAGATGGGAGCATTTAGGCCCCCACTTAGACACTTTTTCCAGGATATAAAATCAGTTAATCTCTGGACTAAAGCAAATAAAGAAAAAAACAAATCCTTTGTAAAACTGGAGTTATGAGTCTACATGTCGTGAAGAAAGGGAAAAAGAAGAGAACATGCACAACCAACAAGAGTAGAGAGAGAAAACGGCAAAGAGCTGAGACTACATCAAGGACACAACGTGCTAGATCACACAGTCCAAACTGAGTCACAGATTAGGAAGCTGGGGTTAAGGCCATTATTGCATACAGACGCAAATACTTTTGGTGGATTGACCATTCAAACCTTGAAGTTTATCTTTTTCTTTCCCTTTACCTAGAGAAATCAAAATAAAACAACAAACAAAATTGGTCAGACTTGATTACAACGTTTGTCAAAAGACCAAGTGTCAACAGCTGAATACACACCAAGCACTCTAGGGAAAAAGAAAGCATTTCAATCAAAGTAACGTCAGTTCAAAATCTTTGTTCTCTCACTGAACGTCAGTCAAACAACCATCATACTCTGAAAATATTATGGAATTTTGTTTAAACCGCCCCTCCCCATACACATACACATACATGTGTATGGTTGACATCAACTTATTTATTAGGGAAAAGAACAAAAAGCAACACTTATTTTTCAGCTCCTCCGCCAAATTAGCACTAGATGCAAGATTTGAACAACTATCTCGTCTGGGACAGTATCAATCTCATGTTCTATAACATATCCATCCTTTCTACAATTCACAACCTTGCCAATTAAAGAACTTAAATATTAATACTCACTTCCTTTGTCCTTGTCCTTTTCTTTGTCTTTGTCCTTCTTGTCTTTCTTGTCATCTTTTCCTTTCTCTGAAAAACAAAAAGAACACAGAAACATTTTTATTTTTGTTTTTGTATAAAGTACACAGGGAAAAACAAACTAGTACCAGTTCAAGAACTTTGGCGAGAATGAAGCAAGCTGACATAATCTTGTTTTTAAAAAAATCCAATAGATCAAAGGACCATAGCACAGAGTCTTCAAGTGTTTTCAGAGCTGAGCCCAAGTCATTCTGCAATGCAATGACCCGTATTCCAGATGTTCAAGATTTTTAGCTTAGTTTTAGTTTTGGTAAGGTTTTACGGCGCTCGCAACTGCATAAGGTCATATGAACGCCAAGGGGTGAATGTTAACAGAGAAGTCTTTACAGGGAATCAGGCTAACTCTGCTCACCTCTCTAGCCTCAACAGCACAAAGTCTGCTTCGACTATCAAGGGACACCGGAAATAACAGATTCAAGATTTTGAATATTCAAATCAAAAACATCCACATGGGAGAAGGATGAGTGACTCTTGTCTACCGGGCACTGTTTGAGCCAAGACTTAGAGTAATTCAACACTTTGTACAGATTATTTTGGAGGGTGAAAGTGCAGGCATGACTTAAAAAAAGGCAACTTTGACATAATATCTGAAACGCCTTTCCACCTTTGTTTAGAAAACATTTGATCTAAATTTTTGCTTAATGCCTCTTAAAACACAACAGAGATTGTTCCTAGTGTTTTCAAAATGAAAATTCCACTTTCAACAAAAATCAAAATGAAAAGAACTAGTAAATAGTTTTACCTTTTTCTTTTCCATCTTTCCCTTTTTCCTTTCCATCTTTGCCTTTCTCAGCTTTTCCATCCTTCATGTCTTTCTGTGTTCCTTCCTTCTCCAGCTTTTCCTCTTTAGGTGCTCCTTCCTGAATTGCATGAAGAAAAGTTTTTTTTTAAAAAAGTCATTTACATAAGAATAAACCTGTGGTGGAAATGAACAACATTGGAGAAGAAACAATTTTCTATTATATAAATCTAGTATCTAGTTAATATGGACACATTGACACAGCCTATTTTGTTGACCTGTTTTACCTGTCCTGAGCTACAACGTCATCATTGCACACCGGACAGGTCCATAAGTGATCAGTTCCTCTCAGCACCAAAAGCCCGCAAGGTATCCATACTAATTGTTCCGGTGGCTGTTTGATTATGGTGATGTCTTTCCTTTCCAGATAATCATTCCTTTTTTCCTTCTCCCCTCTCTATCCCCATTTTCTGCATCCTAAAGCCTATAGGAATTAACCCAAACAGCAAAAACCAACCTATGAACACATAAAACACAATGACCAAGATCAGCTTCAATCATTTACAAAATACTTGTACAAGGTAACAACCACCAAGGTCTGTGACGCAATTTAAAAAATATAAAAAATCCGAAATCACTCACAGATGGCACGGATTCCTTCGACGTGACGTCCGTAGTCTCCGGTGGTTTCTCCCACTCCTGCTCAGGAAGTGTCCACTCGGGCAGCGCTTTCTTCATCAGCTGCCACACCTCAGCCATGTGGCTCGGCCTGTCAGTCAACAACAACAACAACAACGTATGTTTATTTGAATCAAAGTCTCTTACTTTGAGCCCAGGAAAGGAAACAGGAAAAAAAAAATGTCCTTTGAAACATGTAAAAAGCAGTAGGCTACATTAATACAAGGATTGTCATTGAAAGCTGATAAACAAGAAAAGTAAATCAACAGACATAAAAAACAAACCCTACAATATAATACTAGTGATGACAGATACGTGAGACGTGCCATGAAAATGAGTTACTTCTCGTATTTTAGCCCTCTGGAAATAGAGGCGTTGAACTGATAGGCTGAGTTTTTTCAATTCATTAGTTGGAAATAATAAAAGACACGATAAATTTGAGGAAAATGACACCATTTGAGAGTCTACAAATTTACTCCTTTGTTGATTTTCTGCCGATGTCTCCATTTGTGAAGTGCGAGAAGTAACTCATTTTGTCAGCCCGTCCCACATATGGTAACACTAACAAATTTAGTCATGTGAATTTCCTATTTTATTACCAAGCCAATCCATCACAGACTGAAGTTACTCGTGAATTCATCAATGTTTGGAAAAAGATTTATAAACAAAACCACAAACACCATTTAAGCACTATTTTTTCTGATCCCCCTCCCCCTAAACAAACAAACAAACAAACAAACAAACAAAACTGATCCTGCCTCCAGGTGAACACTATGGGAACTGTGGGAGCAAAGAGGAGACTCACAGCAGAGGTATAGCCTCCGGGATCCATCCTGTGAGACACTGCAGCACAGTCATGTCCCCAAACTCTTGGCTGGGATTCCCACCAGAGTAACTGAAACAAAAAACACAGAGATTGTACTAGACACATTTTCTCTCTCTCTCTCTCCCTCTCTATCCCTCTCTCTCTCCCTCTCTCTCTCTTACACACACAAACACACACACACATACACACACACACACACACACACACAAGTTTGAGAAAAGGACATATCTTTCTAGATAGTCAGATATATTTTCAGAAACACAAAACGAGCCAGCCAAACTGAGATCACATATACACAAAAGATTGACAAAGATACAAAGAGCACAACATACATACAACAGCAACTAAATAAACAAAGGATGAACACAGTTTATCAACACTCCCATCCTCTTGCAGGAACATGTGCTGCTTGTTTCTTATTTCTTACTCAAAGCAACCAATAATGGTGAGTTACTGAGGTGCACAGAATACTATGCAAAAAAAACCCAATATTTTCTTCTTTTTTGGTAAGTGTTTTAAGGTGCTCGCAACTGCATAAGGTCATAATAGGGCACGAGTAAACAATAACATTGTGGTTTCAGTATTTTAGTGAAAGCTTACGCCAATTGCAACACAGTTAAGTCACATAAGTGCCAAAGATTAGAGGTGATACATACAAGAGATCAACAAACACAAAAAAGAAGTAGGAGAGATTAGGACAACAAATATTTGACAAGAAAGGAGTAAACCACACAAGAGCACTCACCAACCACCAACAAGCAATAACAACTGAACAAACAATAGGAAGAAAACAGTGAAACAATCCACCCATTCCTTCAACAAAACATAAACTACGTCTTACTTACTCAAGAGAAGCAACCTTGATGAGAGCTTTTGTAAGCAGCATTGGCCAGAGCTCATGGGTCAGTGTTGTTGATGGTAACAGCATTCGACCTTGATCATCAAACGGTACAGTATCATCGATAGTAATCTTCCGCCAGCATCCCTGAATACAGAGAAATGAAAAAGTGACTCAAACATAACCCTTCTGAACCTCTAGAAAATAATACCGGTAGACTGATGAAATATAAAGAATTTATTACATGAGTCGTGGTGGTAGATCATGATTTATCCTACGAGTGAAATTGCCAAGTTGTAGTCTCTCTCTCTCTCTCTCTCTCTCTCTCTCTCTCTCTCTCTCTCTCTCTCTCTCTCTCTCTCTCTCTCTCTCTCTCTTTCTCTTTCATTTGTAGCACTACTGAGTGTTCAGTAACCTCACTGCAGTTGGTAAAATGAATTTCAATATCTGTATGTTCTTGCTTTTTTGGAAATAAATTCATGGAGTTAACAAATTGTATCTATTCTAAAACACATGACATACCATCCAATATAGGCGAACGACGTATTTCCCGTGGCTGTTGTAGAGAGGCAGATGAGGTCCCTTGCCGGCCTTGCACAGCGCGTAGATGTGTTCCCAGGGCCTCCAGGAGTGGGAGGGGTCATCGCCCGGTGCTGTGGCCTCTAGGTTCACATCCGGCGGTACGGGCACCGAACACATGTCCCACAGAGCCATCACTTGGCTGATGCAGTAGCGCAGGAACTGGTGACAAAGTTTTGAGACCCGGGTTAAGATATAATCTTTGCGAGCACTTGGTAAGTTTCAATAAGAGAACTGTCGATAGTGAGCTTAGTGCGCCGTGTTCAACACAGTAAACTTCTAAAAGTGATGGGACCTCTTCTTTGACATCAAGCTCTGGTCATCCAATTCACGACAAGTGGCCATAGAGCAATGAAAACTCCTTAAACAATATAAGTTACAGATGACCCAATTTGGGAATCAAACTATAATTTTGCACATCACAGTCCAACATGACACCAAGTAAAGTGATAATAATATACCAACCTGAAAAAGTTATCAGAGAAAAATCTGACCAAAAAATTTATCCAAACTTGTATCAAACTCAGAAAGAAACTGATCTGAGAGGTTCATTGTGAAGGCCAATGAAGACAGTAATTAATACTGTGTCTTCAGAATCTCGCATACTCACCTCACTCTCGTGTAAATGTTCGTTGTTGGCAATCAGGTCAAAGCCACTGCTCACGTGATCAGTGTCCACAATGACTGGCACCTGGGGAAATAAATATAACAGTTGAAGAAAAGTTTACTACAATTCTAAGTTTGAGTAACGAAAGTGCACAGTTAATGAACAGTTCAGGAACAGATTTTGTAAAGTGGCACAAGTAGACCAAGACTTGCTCAGATCATCTATACCAAGACAAAAGCCTCAAGTCTACTCATTAAGCTGCATGATAAATCCTATGCTTCTGTCCTAAAGAATTAAAACAAACTAAAAAGGTTAAAAATTACTTTGACATATTTAAAAAGTCAATGGCTCGTCAGATTGAAGTATCAGCTGAAGACCAATCTAACTACTTGAGCCCATAAAGAAGTGAAGAATGTTAGTAAACACCCTAGATCGCTCTCTTCCTAATTCTTTTCTTGTTTTGTTTTGCATTTTTTTTACTATTGCCCACCTCACTCTGTGAGAAATGAGACCATTATACTAGCCTGATTTAATCAGACAACTCAATAATCCATTATACTAGCCTGATTTAATCAGACAACTCAATAATCCATTATACTAGCCTGATTTAATCAGACAACTCAATAATCCATTATACTAGCCTGATTTAATCAGACAACTCAATAATCCATTATACTAGCCTGATTTAATCAGACAACTCAATAATCCATTATACTAGCCTGATTTAATCAGACAACTCAATAATCCATTATACTAGCCTGATTTAATCAGACAACTCAATAATCCATTATACTAGCCTGATTTAATCAGACAACTCAATAATCCATTATACTAGCCTGATTTAATCAGACAACTCAATAATCCATTATACTAGCCTGATTTAATCAGACAACTCAATAATCCATTATACTAGCCTGATTTAATCAGACAACTCAATATTCCATTATACTGGCCTGATTTAATCAGACAAGTCAACAATTACAAAGATGTTGTACACTGCATGAGGAGAACCCAGCTGCTGTCGTGTTTGACAAAAGCCCAACACCCGCCTGACACAAAAGCCCAGCCTCCAAAAGTGAGTATTCAATGTCACATGGGACCTTCTAGAAATAATACAAGAGTATTAAAACAGGGCCTGCACACTTTCTAGTTTTGTAAAATAAAACGCAAAAAGTTTTACCTTATCCATCAAGAAATCCGCTGGTCTTTTCCATGAATCTACCCTCAAGGAGGGTGGCATCTCAATTTTACCATCTGGGTCCTCGAAGTAATGTTGTGACTGCAGAAGGACAAGAATTTTTGGTATATACTCTAAAAAGACATGACGCACACATCCTGACTTCATAAATAGTTTATCTTTATTTCATGAATTAAAATATCGCCCATACACAAGTATTGTATAGTCTTCTGGCGCATTCAGAACCTCTTCCTTTTTCCACAACATGCCATTCCAAGGTCCACTTTCAAGCTGTAGTTTTATTGTCCAAATTAAAGAAATTTTGCTGCCTTAAAATCAAAAACTTTCTCTGAAATGGTCTAAACTCAAACATGACTAAGCTTGTGATAAGTGTCACTTAAAACTTGAAGCACATGTCCCTCTATCAAAACAGTGGAGGATAAAAAAGAATCTGTAAATACACCCATGAAAAATATTTTCAAACCATTTCAGAACAGGGCAGGCAACTTTAGTTTTATTTGTACTATTCTCAAAAGCTTATAACCACAACAGAAAACTTACAACAGTAGGAGACTTCCCTTTCTTGTCTTCCTTCTTAGCAGCATCCTACAGAAGAGATAATAAAGCAAATCAATACAATGGTAAAACAAAATTAACGTGAAAGAATTTCATGCCAAGAGATGATATAATAGTGGCACTGTGCACGAGAAAAGCATTAATGCTCCCGCATCTTGAGATAAACCCTTCCTATGAGAAAGTGCACTCACAATAGACAATCAGTAATGAATTTCTCTGAAACAAAAGTAAGTTGACAGACATACACTTCTACTATATATGTATACCTGCCCACAATTGGAGGAACTGTCCGGGTTTTCATTGTCTTTCAAATGCACCATCTTCATCAAGGATTCGAAAATTCATGCCATAACATTTCTAGTCTAGCTGATGAATGCCATTTCCCAGGACTATCAAGATTTTGATTTTTTTAAAGTTTATCTTATCTTATCGACTGTCTTCTCTTCAATCCTTGGGATTGTAAAACAGCATTCCTATTAAGTGTCATATGAAAGCAGCATATGATTTCTGAAGTCACACAAGACTTTTAACTACAATGTACGGGAACCTTGAATAAGGCAGTTTCCATGCCATACTTTGATTGATTTTTTAAAATATCATTTTCTCATTGATCATTCGTAAAACAAATTATAAATTCTTCGTCATATTATTTCTAGTTCATTGTAATTTGCTTGCGCACTGGAATATTGCCAATATTTCAATTTTTTTTTTTTTATTCTAAATTTGGTGGGTAAAACTCTTAAAATTATGTTTTTCCACTATTCATATACTTACTATTTACTTGTACTTTCTTTTTTATTATCAGTCCTTGTATTCCTTCTATCTTTTCCTTTTTTCACCTATTGACTCTTTAACTAAATCCAGTAACCATTCAACTTTGCTAACTATAGGCCCACCAGTGGGATTAAAATCTTTCTGAAAATGAAAGCCTTTAATTGTCAGACAATGGAAGGCCCTTCCCCTTTTTGATGGACACATTTCGAGGAACAGGTCATGGGGATCATATCATATAAAATATATTGTAGTCAATAGAGTAAACAAAGCATGCCACATTAATATATTATAAACTTGGAAAAGATCTCTCATAGATCTATTATTGGTGTACGACAGAAGGTTAATTTCTACCTTTATTCCTTCATGGTCAGGTAAAAAACTTTTGGTATGCCCCTCATTTTTTATCATATTGATAGCTTTCTGTGCAGTGTACCAGCACAGAGCGATGATTTTTACAAAATGCATCACATGTTATTTCACTGGGAGTGAGTAAGAAGATGGTGTGGTAACTTTAATTGTAGCCTACAGGACACAGTTTTGCAGTTCCCAAGTTGAGAAATTAAGGTCTACAAAGTCATTACATGTCATCTTATTCCAAAACACTATAAATTTCTATTTAGAAACGTCTTTTTAAGTAGCAGTGCTGAACAAACTTTTATCAACATAAACTTTGCAAGTAACAAAATGTTCATTCCCAACAGTCTAGTATATTCAAAAAGGTAGACGTACGTCTGAATGACAGAGTAACAAACACAACATTCTTTTCAGCGAGTTTCAATCTTGGTCAGTAACAGAACAGAAAGAACTGCATCATCTCACACGCACAGCTTCAAGTTAGGAAAGTAGAGTCAGAACTGTCTAAGACGACCAACCATTGCCAAGGAGAATAGTGGTTGTCTGAGACAGGTGAACGTCTTGCACAGTGGCATTATAAAGGTTTAAAAAGAACGCAAGTAGGGAAAATAGAAAATGGCCGTTTGTACCTCTGTGATTGTCTTATACCAGTGGCCATTAGAAAAAGTTTGAGCGTACAAGATTTAAAAGAGAGTGAGAGAGAGAAAAAAAAGACTGCAAACAGTACTATACTAATTGCCAAATTTTTTCATACACAAGAGTATGCACCTGTGTTTATTTGTCAAGTTGTTCCTTCTACCCCATATACAAAAGGTGATGGCTCCATGAAATACAGGAAGCACAAAATACCACCTGTGGTTTTTACAATTGGCTTTCATGCACAATTAACACCTCCCCCCCCAAAAAACAACAACAACAACAACAACCAAAAAAGAACAACAACCAAAAAAGCCAACAAACAAACAAACAAAACAAACAAACAAACAACAACAACAAGCAAAGAAAGAAAGAAACAAACAAACATAGAAGTACATATGTTCTGACTTAAAACACAACATTTTTGTCAAGACAAGGTCAGTGTTATTCACCAAATCAGCAATAATTCTCTGTGTCAGTGTTATATTGGAGCTCACATCTTCTAGAAAAAGAACACGTAATTTCTTTTAAAATATATAATAGTAGAAATTTTATGCACTTTAGATCATTTATGAGCCGCGTTGCTTCAACCCTGTCTGTTAGGGCCACCCGGGGCTGAGAGAGATACAAAGTCTAAACAGAAAGATGACAGAGACACTTGATAAACATTTTCCCAAAACAGGAATCAAACTCAGATCTTCTGCGGGTAACGGCAAAGCACTTAACAGCTATACCACAGACGCCAGTTTCAATAACTTCTGTAATGGACAAATCGATTAAAATACCGGTTCCAAATACAGCACTCTTTTTTATTATTAAATAGGTACTATAGATATATAGCACAGCAACACAAACAAAAACATTAGTTTACACACATTACAATGTATGTATATATATATACATTTGTATTATTACACACACAGAAAGAGAGAGAGAGAGAGAGAGAGAGAGAGAGAGAGAGAGAGAGAGAGAGAGACAGAGACAGAGACAGAGACAGAGACAGACAGACAGACAGACAGACAGACAGACAGACAGACAAACAGAGAGAGAGAGACAGAGGAGAGAGAGAGAGAGACAGAGGAAAGAGAGACAGAGGAGAGAGAGAGAGAGAAACAGAGACAGACAGACAGGGAGAGAGTCAGAGGGAGGGATAGAGAGAAAGAGCACACACAGATACACTATACAGTTCTATTTTCAAGTACCATACTATTCACTAACATGACAACACTGTCCTCAAGCATTGTACGTACATAATTATTGCTTGCTTGTATACACTTGTGCATCTACCACTGCATAACTTGCGTTAGTATATTCTTATATGTCAGCAACATAAAATTTTGAGAGAAAACTGCCTAGTCACATTATTACAGAACAGCTGAAGTGCTGAAGATTCAATTGAAAGACTTACTATCTGTGTCAATTACCAAATGGAAAGATGAGCAATTAAAACCCTAACGAAATCAAAATGGGAAATTAAATGCAATCACAAAGAAAAGAGAGCAACAAACAAGCAAAGAACTGGGAGCATTTAGAGCTCTCAAAAGTTTGGGATGTAGTGATATAATACAGAACAGGACATCAAACAAAAAAATTAGTACCTCTGACTTCTATGTTCATCATCACAGCTTTTATTAAAAACACACGCCAACTTACCGCACCCTAATCATGGCAAAGGGAAAAGATCAGAGAAGAAAATTGTGAGAAAAAAAATTGAAGACTTTGCATTAAAAAGAAACGAAGCACATGCACAACTATGGAACTTGGACATCAGACGCTATAATTTGGCTGATGGCACAGAACATGTTCTCTTCAATTCCATTTTCTAATACAAGAGATGTTCTATTCCCCTTATTCAACCCTGACACCATCATTTTTTATTTTGCTGCCAAGATGAAAATAAAACCAAAACTTTTAATACTGATAGAAATAAATTCTTTACCTTAGAATTTGGGGAAAAGAATGATTCAAGAGCAATAGTTGAGTTTATATTTATAAGACCTTAAGCTATAACTGAAATAATAGGGTTCCAACAGGTACCATATTACTCTCCTAACAAGCTTTAGGGATTATTTATCATAGTCTTAAAACGTACGATATTTTTATAGTGTCTGCGATCAGTTATGATATAAGCAAAGCTATTATTGACAAAATTATATAAAAAATAAAAATCAACAGAAGCCTGTGATCACCTTTAATTTCTGAGAAGAATAAGAAAAAGAAATTGAGACTTACAAACCAAGATGGCCTGGAAGTAGTAACTAGTCTCATCATCCTAACCACTGCTGCACTATTTTTCTTGTGTAGCTTAAATTTTTGTTAGCAACATCCAATTTTTTTCAATAATAATTCAATTCCTTTTCAGATCATATCAAAAGCTAAGCAAACAAATCCCATCTCAACGTTCAAAATTTTATGTTGTCTAGAATTTCAAGTGTAAGAATTTTACCCATTTTTCAGCATTCACATCGGCATCATTCCACTCTGGCCAGATCGTGAATTTGGGTCTTTTTGAGTCCTGGCCCCCAGCACTTGCAGCCACTGATGCAGCACTGAAACAAAAAAGTCCAGGATTGGTTTCAAAGAATTTGTTTAACCTTTATTTGGGGATTTATTAGAATATTATAAAAGACGGAGGGTAATTCTTGATCATGTGACGAAATATTTGTGTTTGTTTTGCCTTTACATATATGGTGTTAGTGGCCTAGTGGTAAGGGTCTCGGACTCGCAAGCATAAGGTCGAGGGTTCGAATCCCGTCAGGGGCTTTACGTTGCGTCCTTGGGAAAGCACTTTGCATGAATTTCTCTCACTTCACCAAGGTGGAAAAGGGTAGGCCTACCTGGCTACAGACAGTGAAAGATCTTGTCAGTTTGATAGTGTATGAGCGCATGAATTCCACAGCTTGCACTGTATGCATGCTTCCTGGAAGCCGAGAATGTTTCTGAGTATTCTCAGAGGGTTTGCTGGGGTAATTATAGTTGTAAAACGCATAGCGCATGCAGCATAGACCATGGATTTGCACTATATGAAGGTAACTATTCTTTTTATTATTATTATCTTTCTGTAAACACTCACTATCACACTTTTACAAAAGTGATATTCCATCTACATTGAACCAAGTTGTGACAGGCAGCAATAATTTTCAGTCTTAAAAGCCAGGACCAAATTCTTTTGAAACAATAACAGTTGGTCTGGGAAGACCTGAAAAAATATCTGGGCTATATAAAATAAAACAAAGATAGGATATACAGTCGAACCTCCCATGACGGCCACCTGTACAAACGGCCACTTTCCATTTCCCCTTGCGTTTTTTCTACATAATTTAAGTTTGTAAAACAGGCACCTGTCCAACGCGGCCACGGCCACCCTATTATTATCAACCCACATCTAAATCCACCTGCCTATGGCAGCTATATAGACTTTGTAAAAAATCATGCATTTTCCCCTGACGCTGTGGACAAGCCGTCATAATTCATTCATTTGTCGTTGTTGTCAGTCCCTCCAATGGATGAAGCGGTCATGTTGCTAACGTCACTCCCAATGTATACCCAAGTTGACCACCGGGAAACAATAGATTTTCAGCTGCTGGTAAGGATCAAAGCGTGTGATCTGTCATAACCTATAAGGCCCGCCCACAACTCAGTTTACAAACCAAGTCCATAACAATTGAATGAAGTCAACACAAACTCGCAACCGAAGGGTTGTTCATTCGCCGAGTGGTGGCAACCCACTTAATATATGTTTTACTATGACACTTGGCCTTCCTCGTCTGAAACATTTCGTTTTGTTTTGACCTTTCCAAAAAAACATAATTTAAAAATAAAAATATAACTAACAAAAAAAAGTCCCACAAAAACCGTCCTATCCTCTCCCCCGTTTCAAAAGAAAGAAAACAACAACAACAACAGCAACAACAACAACAAAAACAACAACACATTTTAATCAGCCCTAGGGCAGTCCTAGCACGCAACCACCTCAAGTTGGGACCTCAGGAGTAAATAATTTGTTTTATTTTATTTTGATCAGTCCTGCCTAAGACGGCCACCTTTTTTATACAGCCACTTTTCCCCTCGACAATGCGTCGCCGTCTTACACAGGTTCGCCATGGTTTGCTACTTTTGCTGCAGCCCTGGCTGCTTTTGTGCACTAATTAGAAGATAGCAGATGTATACCCAGACTCCTGGTAAAAGGGAAAAAGCGAGACACTATATTCTGTTCTGTAACTTCCGACACATTCACTCGCATTCAGTAATTCTTTTCAAAATCGCCTCAATTACTGTCCTCACCAAGAGATTTAAACTCAAGGCACATAGACAGAAATATTAGACCAACCCTCCTAAATAAGTTGGATCAAGCAACCCCTGGGCCTGTGGGGAACAACATGCCTTATATTTATACTTATAATTAAATTTGGGCGGCCTAAATTTGTACTGGAGTGAGACTAGATCTAAGATCTACTTTATCAAGTCCATTTAAAGTTGAGATCAAAGAAAGAAGAACATGTATTTAGCATTTACAATCCACAGAAACTAGATCTATACTAATAGATAGTCTAGATAGATCGTTTACTCATAATAAAACAGATAGACCAGAAGATGCAGTTAAAGTTGAAACAAATGAATAATGAATAGAGGGCCTACTAATACTAATAGTAGATCTAATTCTAGATCTACATCCACTAACACACTAAAATAAATATTACTAAAAAAATTGCCCTCCTGCTGTTAGTAATAATAGTAGATCTAGAAATCTAGTTTTGAAATGTATCAGGGCGATGGGCAGTGTTGGAGAGCGGAAAAAAGGGAATGCTGGGGGGTAAACTACTGCAACAGGTTTGTCTATCAAAACACTACAAATATGTTGTCATTTTTTCTCATAACAAGCAGGAAACACAAAATGAATTTGTATCTGAATGAATTGTTTACAGTCGAAACTGGCAGCCATTTTGTAACCAAGAAGCCAAGCCACCGCAGGCCGCAGGTGCTATGAACTTACTCTCTCGGTGTCGCTGAAGGAACACGGGCGGTACCCCCTCCTTTCTTAGCTCCTTTCGATGCCATCTTCAAAACAGAGAGCTTTGCGGACCATACAACAAGTAAAACGAGTAAATTCTACTCGATGTTCTCTTTCTCTACAGCATCATTGCAAAGGCCGTTGCCATGATAGGTCAGAGTGCACGATGAAACGCATGCGCAAAATAAACACTAAAAAAGTGTCTCTCAAAAGGTTCGACTCAAGATGTATATTTCATTCATAAATTCTACAGATGCAAAAACAAAATACTTTACTCAATAGTCCCTTCTAAGTAACTGTGATAGATTATTTCAAAGACTACTTTTCCTGACTATAGTATGTAGTTTTTGTTGAGATTCAGAAAACAACCCAAACAAATGTTCTTAAAAAATAAGGACCAATAAAGGCTATACTTAGAACAAAAAAGAAACGACTTGCACCAAGTTTCCGCACAACAGGTGGCTGTAATCCGATTACTCGCGTCGCCGCCTCGCTGAGAGACAGCGCTGGTGCCTGCCAAAGGTCCTCGGTGGCGACCCACTAAAACTGTGTTATTGGGAATTCTTCCGCCTCCACTTTATTTACAATGTATTATACATCTCTCTCTCTCTCTCTCTCTCTCTCTCTCTCTCTCTCTCTCTCTCTCTCTCCCCCCCTCTCTCTCTCTCCCTCTCTCTCTCTCTCTCTCTCTCTCTCTCTCTCTCTCTCTCTCTCCCGTGGTGTGTGTGCGTGTGTGTGTGTGTGTGTGTGTGTGTGTGTGTGTGTGTGTGTGCGCGCGTGCGTGCGTGTGTGTTTGTGTGTGCAAACGTGTGCGAATGTGTGTGTGTATAGGTGCGTGTGTGTGTGTGCGCGCACGTGTGCGTGCGAGTGTGTGTGTGTGTGTGTGCGTACATGTGTGTGTGTGCGTACATGTGAGTGTGTGTGTGTGTGCGCACGTGTGCGTGCGAGTGTGTGTGTGTGTGTGTGCGTACATGTGTGTGTGTGTGCGTACATGTGAGTGTGTGTGTGTGTGTGTGTGCACGTGATGGCACTCGTCCTGGTACATAGTAGTGGTGCTGGCAGTGCTGCTACTCTGTTAGGCCCACGGTAGGCAAAACAGAATTTAAGTTTTTAACTGATTATATGGACGCTAATTATGAATAAATTATAAATAAATAATTGAATAACTTTAAGGGAATGGAAGTGTAACGAATTTTTTTTGTCAGTTTGGAAGAATTGGGGAAACAGCCAATCTCTTACACAGCAGTTTTTTTTTTTTTCAACTGTAGATGTTATAATTTATGCGACGTATCCTCGGACTTCAAAAATAGGAAGCAAAAGAAAATGAAGAGAATATAACAAAATTTTTGCCAAGAAAAATCTTAATCTAGAGGCATTGAAATATATTTGGCTTCGTATAGAATATATGTACTTTTAAAAAAATTGACACGGTTGCGATTTATGGCAAGAAAATGCCTATATCAGCTTATCACAGAGAGGAAGTATAGAGGGCACCTTTAAATCCCCCGTTGATGAAACTGTAGGCTATTCTGCATCTAGTCGTTAATAAATTGCATAAAGCAGGGAAAATTCTTGAAGAATTTTTCCAACATCTCTGTGTTCAACAGTAGGAGGGGTAAGGTAGCCTACTGGCAGCTAGAACCCCGCATTGCTTTCGCCCGACTCACAATTAATCACATAATAATAATTGGTGAATGTTGCAGTGGGCTATTGGTCAACACGCAGTGGCAGAAATGATCGAGTTGCATTCCCTTTTACTCCAGCTGTTTGCCCTTTTCCCTTTCTCTTTTGTGTTTTTGCCAATGTATAAACGCGCTGAGACCGCGACAGCCGCCAACTCTTTCCATATTTGACAGACAATGTTAACAGTCCTTTCTCCTGCGTCCATGGGAAAATGAAAGGAGCGCAAATTGGTACGAACAAAATACAATGTAGGTTTATTTAGTCTTTTCAACAGCAACTCCTGCTATACCATTAAATACCGTTCAGAAGCAGAGACAGGCCATTTTGTTGAACAATTTTCCCAGCATGTATTAGGGGGTATTCGCAGTGGAGAAACAAGGATAATATTGAAATGAATACATCTATTTCAATTTCACTTCCTGAGATAGAGAGAAAAGTAAAATTTGCAGGTGTTGGTCAAAGTGGAAATAACAACAACGCTGCTGTCAGAGACAATATAATTATTTAATATTTATTATGGCTCCGAGACTCTGAAACAAGATAATAATTACAGATTTGACAACATTGGTATACATCAATGGCGTTTAGAATAAATTTATTTTTAGGAATCAATCAAGAAGCGAATTTTGAATTCTGTTGAATGTTACATGTTAGATCTGTGTCTAAATTATGTCCATGCTGGGTGACCTAGATAGTATGTATTATCAAGTATTCATCCACAGCTTAGACCTAGCACGACGCCCATTTTCTCTTGCCCATATCACAAGACTAATTTATCAAAACAAATTTTATAATATTATAACTGTTTTGGGTAGGTTACTTTTACTAGAGCAGACATCTACCCCAGAAATACTT